ACCACACCTGGAATACTGCAACTAATTTTGGTTACCGTACTACAAAAAAGATGTTGAGACCTTGGAAAAAGTTCAGAGAAGAGCAACTAAGATGATCCAAGGCCTGGAGACTAAAACATATGAAGAATGGCTGCAGGACTTGGGTTTGGCTAGTCTAAAGAAAAGAAGAAATAATTGATGCTGAATTTGATAACTGCTGCAAGGTTATTAGTAGCTCAATGTTGGAAAACGGAATGTTTGCCCACTATAGAAGATTGGGTTTTTAAAGTTTCAAATCTAGCAGAAATGGCTAAGATTTCAGCTTATGTGAAGGATTACTCACAAGAAAGATATATTTTGGTTTGGAGAAGATGGATAGATTATATTGAGAATAAATATGGAACTAAAAAGTTTCATTTGGTTTTTGAGTAAATTTTAGATTGTTAATGTAGTTTACTTTTTTTTAAATTAGTAATAATGATGTTTAACATGTTTGTTCAGAAGAGAGCTAAAGGATGTTATAGAATTGTTAATTTAAGGGTGACATAATTTAAGATAGAGTATAATTATTGTATTGTTAACCCTGTGTGTGGCTCTGGGAAGTNGGGGAGGAGGGGAGTTATATTGTAAAACTTTTAAAAATTTTCAATTAAAAAAAAAAAGAATGATAAAAAAAAAGAAAAAAAAAAGAAAAGAAGAAATAGGGGCGACATGATAGCAGTATTCCAGTATTTGAGAGGCTGCCACAAAGAAGAGGGGATCAAATTATTCTCCAAAGCACCAGAGGGCAGGACAAGAAACAATGGTTAGAAACTGATCAAAGAGAGAAGCAACCTGGAATTAAGGAGACAGTTCCTAACAGTGAGGACAATTAACCAGTGGAACAGCTTGCCTCCAGAAATTGTGGGCACTCCATCACTGGAGGTTTTTAAGAAGAGACTGGACAGTCACTTTTCTGAGATGGTATAGGTTCTCCTGCTTGAGCAGGGGGCTGGACTGGAAGACCTCCAAGGTCCCTTCCAGATTTCTATTCTATTCTATTCTATTCTATTCTATTCTATTCTATTCTATTCTATTCTATTCTAAAAGCCAACTCAGCTTTTTTTTTGGAGCAGAGGACACTAATTGTTGTTCAGTAATAACATGAATTTCAGCATGAAATTTGAAATTATTTCAAACTTTTCATGTTTGTAACACACTGAATGCTTTTGCCTTCTATCTAGTCTTCAGTTTCCAAAATAAGTAAATATTTCTTTATATATCAGAACTATGTTAAAATATTCTCTGAAACCAACATTTTTTTAAAGTAACATATAATAATAATAATAATAAAGTTGGAAGGGACTTTGGAGGTCATGTAGTCCAACCCCCTGCTCAGGCAGGAAACCCTATATCAACCATTTCAGACAAATGGCTGTCCAGTCTCTTCTTAAAAACTTCCAATACTTTTTTAAAAAATTAAAAAATCCAGCAATTTACAATTCAATCCTGAATAATCCTATTCTGAAATAAGATCTGTTATCAGGGAGCTTGTCCCCATTGTGGTTTAAGCTTAATATTAGAATTTTGGGGAAAATAGTTCAATCACCCTTGATCTGAAACAAGGATTCAGTAATTGTATTCATGATACGTTCTATGCCATAGATGCTTGGACACGCTTCAACCAGTGCTTGAAATACAGATAGTCCTCACCTTACGACAATTGAGCCCAAAATTTTGCTAAGCGAGAGAGTTAAGTGAGTTTTGCTTCATTTTATGACCCTTCTTGCCACAGTTTTAATTGAATCACTGCAGTTGTTAAATAACATAGTTGTTAAGTAAATCCGGCTTCCCCATTGACTTTGTCAAAGTTGCAAAAGGTGATCACATGATGCTGGGACATTGCAACCGGCATAAATATGAACCAGTTTATCAAGTGTCCGAATGCTGACCTGTGACTATGGGGATGCTGCAATAGTTGTGTGTGAAAAAGTGTTATAAGTCACTATTAAAGTTGAACTTTGGTCACTAAACGAATGGTTATAGGTCGTTTTTGAATAAGCATACTATATTCTCTGTTGTTCATTAAGTCAGTGTCACTTTTTTTTTTAGGCTTCTTCCAAATAATTTTTGAAAGGTACATAGCCCTAATAATTTGTTTATCTATGGTTTGCTAAACATCTAAAAACAAGCCAAGTTTTATGGCCAAATATTGCTTATTTGATAAATTCATTTTGGGTAGTCTCATCTTGTATGTCTGTGAATTATTTATTTAGCTGCTGACAAAATAAAAATTGGGAACCCCCTCCCCAAGTATCCTCATTCACACCTTGTGCTCAGCTGTTTGTACTTAGTAAACAACAAATATTTGTTTTCAAACTGGTTTGCTACTCTAAAATAAATCACCTTATTGATTATTGGTGGACAGAACAAGATTGCAAAAGGGACTCTAGGGCAGTGGTGGCGAACCTATGGCACGGGTACCAAAGGTGGCACTCAGAGCTCTCTCTGTGGGCACGCGCGCCGTCGCCCAAGTCCTAGGCCTTCAGCTGAGTTTTATAAAACCTTTTCGCTTTAGGCCTCCGCCGCCGTGTGCAAAAAAAAAAAAAAAAGGTTCAATTAATCAGTCAATTTCAACTTCTTGGGGGAAAAAAAAGATCTCGCAAAGTTGGGATTGATTGATTGAACTTTTTAGTCCCACCCAGTCTGCCATTACCACCGCAGCCACGCCCACCCAATGGGCCACACCCAGCCAATGGGCCACACCCACCCGGCACCCGACGATGCATAAGTGGGTTTTGGGTTGCAGTTTGGGCACTCGGTCTCTAAAAGGTTCGCCATCACTGCTCTAGGGGATTGGTCAGGGCCATTAAAAGTTCTTTAACTTTTAATGAAAGAAATCTACATAAAAATATCTTTTAATTTCCCCCCTATTCTTACTATCTAAGGGCTAGTAAACTTCTTGGGGCTGTTAAAAAAAGTTTATCAATTTGCTCTTTAGTAGTGGGAGAACAAAAGCAAGGAACTTGTTGCTGATGAAATAGAAATGAATAAGAAATTAAAGATGACTGTAATTGGAAACACAAATTGTTTCCGTTTCTTCTCCTTTCTTCCATCCTCTTGCTACGGACCACTGTTCATATTGCAATCTCAGAAGTTCCATAGCAGTGGTCAGCGTGTCTCAGAGAAATACAAGAGTCGGTAGCATGTACCTTTTTTATGATAAATGTTAGGTGATGGTTGATAAATGAAAACTTAACAGAATTTGTAAATTTGCTTGTAGTCCACCGTATTTCTACAAGTGGGTGTACTAATTCACAGAAATTTAATCTTATGAAATAGATCTGATCATCAAGTTTATGATGTAATAAAGTTGCTAGTCTTAAATATCAACAAATTCTTGTCTCTTTGGAAAAGAAATGTAATTCTATACATTACTTGCCTTTGGTGTAACAAAGTATACTTTTCAAGACAAACTATAGATAATCCTCAACAAGACTACAATTGGGACTGGAAATTCCACTGCTAAGCAAGGTGATCATTAAGGGAGTCATGATCAATTTTATGACCCATTTTGCCATGGTCATTAAACAAATCACAGCGGTTAGGCATTAATAATTGTGGGGAGAACGGGAGAATGGTATACTGAATATGTTTGCCACCTTGAGTTATTTGTAAAAACAATAAAAAGCTGGACACAAATAAATATAAATGGTAATATAAATGAAATGATATAGGGTTTCCTGCCTGAGCAAGGAGTTGGACTAGATGACCTCCAAGTCCCTTCCAATATTATTACTGTATTATTGTTGTTGTTGTTGTTGTTGTTAAATATAAATTAAACGAATCCAGCTTCCCCCATTGACTTTGATTGTCAGAAGCCAGATTAGAAGATTCCAAACCTTGGAACGCTGCAACCATTGTAAACCCTTGCTGGTTGCCAAGTGCCCAAATTTTGATCATGTGACCATGGAGACTCTGCAATGGTCAGAAGTAAAAGCAGCAGACTTTTTTCAATGCCGGTGTAACTTTGAACAGTTGCTAAATGAAGGGTTACAAATTGAGGACCACTTGTGCTAAGAGTAGAAATGCAAGACTGATGCTAAATGGTCACTCATTCAGCATGCACAGATTCTGCATACTTTATGACATTTGTGATCACTGCTACAGGCTTGGTATGTCTCCACAGGGCAAAATCACGCAAACTATTAGCTGTCAATGGGAAAATACAGACTATACTTGAGATGGTAGTCCATCCCTCATATATGCATTTGAGATATTATTCTGGAGCTCTTCTTTCTCTTTAATTACTTGAAGTAGCTTGATTTTGTAGCATAGATGGTTACCTTGCCACTGTTTATAAATAAGTTATAAAGCACCAATACCAATATAGATCCTTGCAAAGGGAGAGAATCCACTTAAGCTTAAAAGCAGTATTGCCCCTTCTACCTTTGGTTGGTAACATGTCTATCCACTCCAGATATGGTCTGCCGTAATTCTTCCAACAGTTTGGAAAAACAAAAATAAAAATAAAATAGCATAATGAAGTGATGGGAACTATATGTTGTATGTACTGTCTTAAAAAGCAGAACTCAAAAGTCTATCATTTTTCCAGTGCTTCTGATTAAATAGTAGACAAGGAATGCATGTTGCCTTCAGGGAAGTTGTGGAAATATAGTACTGTATATTAGGGAAACTTCTAAAAGCAAAAATAATTGCTGACAATTAGCTAAAGCTTAAACTTGCTTTGAAAAGATATAACATAATGGAGACTTAAGAGGGTGGGCTAAAACCTGTTATAAATACAAATGCATGAATTACTCAACTAAAATTGTTTCACTGTTCTAAATGAGACCTTCATATAATGTGAGAGTATCATACATTAAGAAATTATTAGGCTAACCAAAGAATAACCGGTCTTGACATACAAGACTCTGTAAGCAGGATGAAGCTAATTGTCAGCTTCAGAAGATGACTGTGGGCACTTAGTTATGTACCTGATCTCAATTTATGATGAAGGCCCAATGGAAGAAACTGCTGAGAACCAATATCCATTTAATTTAATTCTTCCCTTGAGAAAGAAGATACACATAGTCTAAAAAGACAAAAGCAAGCACAAAGAATATACGGAGGAAAATGGTGACTTATGCAATCCCAGTTAAATATACAGGGCCCATTAGGAAGGCTCTATCCAATCCACTTTGGCCAAAGTTGGACAGAGGCAGCTCTTCTGAAATGTCCTTGGAGTCTTCTGACTTCACTTCCAAAAGCAAATCTGTGGATAAGCCAATTACTACTGCTGTTACTTTGTCCATTTATTGTGGTAACAGCAGCAAATGGATGACAGGGTGAGCATACCAGTCTGTAAGGCTAGATCTATGCAGCAACTGCTTTGTATGTTATGTTCATTACAGCAGAAGAAATGGCTGGAATGTCTCTGGCAACTCTCTGAAAGGGAGGAATGTTGGGTCTTTCCAATGTGTCCAGGATGCCTACAAATGAGAAAATCAACCATCAATAGTAAATACTAGACTGTATTGTACCAACACTCATCGTAGTTAATTTCATATTACCTTACTCTTTTTTGTCTCAACCTAACTTCTGTGTGCACATGGATAGTTAGCTTACAATTGCAACTGAGAGCACAATTGCTGTCACTAAGCTACACAGTTGTCACCTAACAATGACAATTCTGGCAGTCCTGGTTGCCATTGTTAACCAAGTGATAGCAACTTCTGATTTCCTACTGGTTACCGAATTGCCTTTGCTTGTGCGAGGCTAGGAGGGAACAATGGAAAGCATGATCACAGCTCGCTGAGATGTCGTAATTATGAAAATTAGGAAGATGGGATTTATTCCTTTTGTCAATATCAGCAGTGCAAGAAACTGACCGTTTAGATACAATGCAAGGCAAAGCTGGCTCCTCTCCAATCAGCTTTTGTGCTAATACAGGTAGTCCTCAACTTACGACCACAATTGAGCCCAAAGTTTATGTTGCTAAGTGAGATAACTGAGTTTTGCTCCATTTTACAGATTGGTTGCCACAGTGGTTAAGTGAATCACTGCTGTTGTTAAGCTAGTGACCTGGTTGTTAAGCGAATCTGGCTTCCCCATTGACTTTGCTTGTCAGAAGGTTGTAAAAGGCGATTACATGGCCTCGGGACACTGCAACCATCATAAATACGAGTCAGTTACCAGGCATCTGAATTTTGATCACTTGACCATGGGGGTGCTGCAACAGTAGTTAAGTGTGAAAAACGGGTAGTCACTTTTTTCAGTTCTGTTGTAACTTTGAATGGTCACTAAATGAATTGTAAGTCAAGGACATGTACTGCTTCTTCTTAAGTCAGAATCTGCCTCACTTGAATGAATGTATACATACTCTGGAAATAAGGGCTGCAGTATCAGAGGACTACATTGGAAGAGTTCATTTAGGTCATTCAACTATTCTTTTCTATGGGTAATCTAAATGTAAGAATTCTTGGCAGATGCTTATCTATTTGAATGCATCTGCTGAACCCACAACTTCTATAGACAATTGGATCCACTGTTGAATTGCTTTTACTGATATGAATTATTTTCTAAAATATATGTTCGAAGTCATACTATGACAAGAACTAGGGATATAGAAAGCTTATTGTTCTAGTAAGAATGGAACATTCTAGAAAACTCTGGGCGCTTTCTCTCAGTCCTGATCTAGTTTATTTCAGGAGGAACCTAATATTTTCCAGAAGTGAACCTATCAAATTAGAAGCTGCTCATGATACTCCAGACAAGTCTTTAGGCTCAGATAATGACAGATCTGCTGGGACATTAAAGAGGTTTGTGTGTATGTGTGTGTGTGCTAAATTCCATTTCTGGAACAACAGGTTTGGTACATACCTACCATACACCATTCCTACAGTGGAAATAAAAAGATTATACACCAGGACTTTGAGATGTAAAAAAAAAATATCAAGCCTAGATAAATCACTTCAGATTTTTTTCCACCTTTAATATAACATATAAGCTGTACAATTCAATTGGGAAACACATTGAAATCTTTTTTGGGAAAAAATTACAATAGCATGGTTGTATAAGTGTGCATACCCCCTTATACGTAGGGAATGTGGCTGTGTTCAGAATAACTAATCACATTCAAACTGATGGTAAATAGTAGTCAGTACATACCTGCCATCAATTAAAGTGACTCTGATCAAGCCCATAGAAAGTTCAGTTGTTCTAGAAGGACTTTTTCTGACATTTACACAGTTCTCTTGCAACAAAAGCAATGGTCTGCAGAAAGCTTACAAAGCATCAAAGGGATCTCATCACTGGAAGGTATCAATCAGGAGAAGGATACAAAACAATTTCCAAGGCATTGGAAATACCATGGAATGCAATGAAGACAGTCATTGACAAATGGAGAAAAACATGGCAAAGCAATGACATCACCAGGAAATTGGATGTCCCTCAAAAATTAATGAAAAGACAAGAAGAAAACAGGTCCAAGAAGCTGCCAAGAAGTCTGCAGCAACATTAAAGGAGATGCAGGAATTTCTGGCAAGCACTGGTTGTATACTACCTGTGACAGCAATCTCCCATATTCTTTGTATGTTTGGCAAGATGGAAGCCTTTTCTTACAAAGAAAACCATATGGCTACATTTTGCAAAAACCTACATCAAGTCTGACAAAGCATATGGAAAAATGTGTTATGATCTAATGAGCCAAGGCCGAACTTTTGGGCCATAATTCCAAAAAGTATGTTTGACGCAAAAACAATACCGTGTCATCAAAAGAACACCATGCCCCCAGTGAAACATGGTGGTGGCAGCATTATGCTTTGGGGCTACTTTTCTTCAGCTGGAACAGCGGCTTTAGTCAAGGTGGAGGGAATTATGAACAATTCCAAATATCAGTCAATTTTAGAACAAAGCCTTCGGGCCTCTGCTAAAATGCTGAAGAAGAAGAAGAGGAATTTCACCTTTCAACATGACAATGACCCAAAGCATACCTCCAAATCTACAAAAGAATGGCTTCACCCAAAATCCGGACCTAAATCCAACTGAAAATCTGTGGAATGACCTGAAGAGGGGGTGCCCCTTACATTCTGACAGATTTGGAGTGCTTTTGCAAGGAAGAGTGGGCAAAGATTCCCCAGACAAGATGTGCCATGCTCCAAAAGACCAAATGCTGTCATAAAAACAAAAAGTGCTTCAACGAAGTATTAGTTTAAGCGTGTGCACATTTATGCAACCATGTTATTGTGAGTTTTTTATTTTTATTTTCCTCCTAAATTTTTTTAGTTTGTTTTCCAATTGAAATTATACTGCTTATATGTTATATTAGAGGTGGAAAAAATTCTGAAGTAATTCATCTCGGTCTGATTTTACATCTCAAAAACATTTTAGCAGGGGTGTGTAGACTTTTTATATCCAAGGTATATGAAAGTTAGACATTTTAAAAAGCCGTTGTGTGTGAAATTGTCCAAAGCAGGAATGGGGTCATCCTATAAAACTAAACCACACATGGAGAACTGCTAAAGGTGAAGAGTTAGCCTTACAAGGTCAGAAACTGTGCGGAGTTCTTCCAAAGCCAAAGCCAATCGCTTAAATTTGTTCTCTTACCTTCCACGACCTTATGATAAGCAAAGTGCAGGTAAAGAAGGAAGAGCATGTGCAGGATAGCAAGTGCTCCACACAAGATGAGTCGCTGGGTATGTCCCACCGTGCGTGATACCAACACAGCAACCTAGAAAAAACAGAAATCAGATCTCAGGGTTTACAAACTCCAGATATAAAATCTGAATAGCACAGGGACAACAAAAATATTAATTTCCACGATTCATTTATTTATATTTCCTGTTTCTGAACCACCCATCTCCCCGATTTTTCTTCAAAGGGAAGCTATTTTAGATTCTAAATAATTGTATAGATCTTCCTGGTCTTACAAATATCCCTTTAGAGATATGGTGACCAGAAGTAAATACAGTATTCTTTTTTTCCCCCCAAACAATTTTATTGATTTTTCCATTTTTTTACACCAGAATGCTTAAGAAACAACGTGGAGATAGAGTAATCAGTTAAGTACAATAACATCATACATATATGGCTCAAGTAATGCTCCTTAAAATTTCCCTCTCTAACAATTAGAATAGTATAGTCAAGCTAATACTTTTCTAAGTAAAATTAATTCATTAATACATTCCTAAATAAGAATTCAATTAATCAATAAAAGTTATCAGGAACCTTTCATCAATGTAAATCAAACCCTGTTTTTAGGTTTATTAATTTCCAAATACCATATCTAACTTAGCCTTAAACAAAGATATTATTTACAATTCGGGTGTCCATAATTTATCTTACTGTAAATACAGTATTCTAAATTTTACACAGTACGCGGGGTCCTTTTTATGGCTGCTTGCTCACCTTCGGTTGCCACTGTACCTAGCTCTCACCTGTAGCTTCAAGTAGCTGTAACATGGGCAGCAGCCACAACAGCTGATGGGCCAAACCAGGTAAGGTTAGCCGATGGGTCTTGGACTCTTAGTGAGATATAGAGGATTTATCTATCCCAGCATATAAAATCTGGCCCTCACAGACTGAGGTCCAATAATTACAGGCCCAGCATGCATTGTGGGGCACTAAGAATACAAAACATTTAGATATCCTAGTCATCCACTCCAGCAGGAGAGATCTCAGACCTAACGGTTCTCCATATTACTATTAAGGTCTCTTTTGCCAAGACGGTGGAACTTTCCCTGTGCAACAGCTATTCCGCTTAAAACTCCATCATATCCAATTTTCTGTTATGCAATTAACCATCATTCACGGCTCATGTGCAAATCATCTCAGCCCAAACCTGATTTGTTGACCCTGTACTGATGAGGGAGTGTCAAAGCAACAGGCGGAAATGACCACTGGCAGAGTGGTCCTTGGGCCAGTGGCCATTTGTCTCATACCCAGGGCAGCAGGAAAGGTCATGTGTCTCACCTAGGTGACTGGGCATCCTTCTCTAGGATAGCACTGCCCAACCTTGTACAGGGCAGGGGCTTAGAAAACACTGCCTGCCCCAGAAAACCTCTATGGCTTGCGCAGAGCCTCCCAATGATTCCTATTGCTCACCATTCGTAGTGTGGAGAGGCCACCAATTCCCAGCCAGAAAATATAAAAAAGGGAGTGAAGATGGATATTGTAGGTGACAAAGAGGGTGATGCAGTGTCCAAAAAGTCCATAACCCTAAAATGAAGGAAGAAAGCATAGCTAGTAAGAGCATGAAGGCAGGGAAAAATCTCAGTCAAAAATAACATCATTATATTCATTCTACTATTCCTTCCGATACAGCGGAAAAAAACCCCCCAGGAACTGATTATCAGCAATCTGCAGATTACTAAAATAATGTCTGGCGTTTACAGCCAATTCAGTAATATCCATGCAGAGAATTGTTTAGAAGTTGGTCAAAACCACTGAACTTTAGCATCATCTGCCTCCATTGTACGATGTAATGAGAGTTTGTGAACCCATGAGAATCAACTGTAATTCTGCAACACTGTGATCAAAGCATTAACAAATACATTTACTTAAACCAGTGTTTCTCAACTTTGACAATTTTAAGGCATGTGGACTTCAACTCCCAGAATTCCACAGCCAGCATTGCTGGCTGTGGAATTTTGGGAGTTGAAGTCCACATGCCTTAAAATTGTCAAGGTTGAGAAACACTGACTTAAACAAACAATATCCCAAACAATTTACTACATAATGTCTTTATTCAACACACCGTGCCAATATTTATCATTTTGTTGGGAAAAAAATATATGAATGAACTCTCAAAAGGGGATAAGTTGAGTCAGATGTTCCAAGCAATGATATGACAATCAAATGTAAGTAGGATCTCCCCTGTAAAAAACATACACTTGTTGGTAGCCACCACTGGAATCAACTCTTCACAGCACAGACACGATAAAATTAAATGCTATTATTGAAACTGAACCCTGTGGACTTCACAACAAAGAGTGTTGTTGCTCATGAGAAAGGGCTACAGAGCCACTGCTAAAAATGTATCTCAATCGATCCAAGGACAGGAGATAATGTACAAATGGAATTACATTACTACTATTTGACTATTCCCAGAAATGGTCATCCAGCAAAAAAATATCCCTCCAATAGTCTAGGAATTCACAAAGAGTTCCAAGGTAACAGCAAAAGAGGTGCAGGCTATTCTGGCATTATCTTGTAGCGGTGTTCATGAGTCCACCAGAAGAACACTGAACAAGAATGAGAGGATACCAAGGATAAAACCACTGATCTCAGAAATCATACTGCTGTTTCAAGCTTGTCAAAGACCGTCTAGATCAGACATGTCAAACTCGTGACGTCACGTGACGTTGCGCAACTTATTGGGAAGGTTTTGCCATTGCCGGCAATGGGGTGGGTGTGGCTTCCGGATGATGCATCCGGCCTGCGGGCCGGCAGTTTGACACCTCTGGTCTAGATGATCCAGCAAGCAATTAGAAAAATGTCCTACTGACAGACGAGACAAAAATGAATCTATTGACATGAATGAGAAAACTGTATTAACAGAAAAACGAAACGCATTCCACAAACGAAAACACCCAGTATTATGGTTTGAGGCTATCTTGAGGTCTCAGAACTTAGATGGCTCTCATAATCATTGCGAGAATGATGTATTATAAATTGTGTCTGCCAATTTAGGGTTTCTTTTTATGACTTGAAATTTGAAGAAAAGATCACACAGTACTGAATCTTAATATAGAGATAACACTATAGCAGATTTTATGGGGAAAAAATCTGATGTTTTGTAATGCCCGAATCTAACAAGAACAGTGAATATTATAAATTCCATTGCTTTGGTTTGATTAACCAAAAATACAGCTCAACTTACATTGTAGATCACAATATTGCACGATTATGGATCATTCTAGGGGCTCACAAACTTTCTTTCAATGCCATATAATATTAATTTATTTTACATGTTTATAGACTGTCCTAATAAAAAGACTTGAGCAGGATTCAAAAGAGTAAAGTTATAAAAGCATTAAGAAACCAACCCAAGATAGATATCGTGAACATTCAATTTGTGCTGTAGGCTCTGGGAATATAAAGACTGCGTTATTGGCTCTAGGATTAACAGAAAGTTGTTCATCTATACTTGATGTGGATATAAAAACATCAGTTTACTTAAAATGGAAATATACAGCAGTACCATTAAATATACTATCTCTAATTCAACATTTGCCAGATGAGCTGGACTATCTTAACTATGTTGTTTTGAGATGATTCTAGATTGGGAAAACTTGCTCTAGGCTCCACTAGACCAGTCCTTGGTAGAAAACTGACTTTTACTTACCAGGAGTGACAACATTTGGACCATGGTGATCTGAGCATTGCATAGGTATGCCAAGAAATATATGAAGGAGGAGACACCTATCCAGTAACCAAAGCAGGTGCCAATTGCTGTGCCCATCAATGTACCTTCCCTCTGTAGAAAGAGCAAGTAAGTATCAGAAAGGCATTCCAGGAAAAATGAAAATGGGGCTATCAACCAATACTTCCCATAAATGTAGTGAAGTCTGCAGTAGGCATTAGTTGTACTCCAAACAAATTTTTCTCCAACAACAATGCACATATGACTGCAACATCAAGGAAGTTCAAAAGATACATAGAACTGATCACTTATCAAACAGGAAAGCAATTTCCCCCTACTTACAATGATAGTATCTGATGTCTTCATTCCATGCAACAAAATAGCCACCAGCGTAAAGACTAGCATGAGAGGACCATAAAGCTCACCAGCTATCTTCTGGAAAATAATATATGGTAGCCATTTATCAATGTTCAAAGAAACGTAAGTCAGCAGGTTAAAATATATATTCAAAATATGATTCATATTTTCTTAAATATTTGCAAAAGTAATACAACTATTAGGGGAGAACTATTATACTATTTTCATAAACGGCAAGTTATTCTATGCCATTGTTTTGGAAATGATCCTGATAGTGTTCAAATGACTTGATGTAATATGAAAACCCATGGTATATAGTTCTAGATGAAATCAATTTCGTAGTTTGAGTTTATTGAGCTTGAAATTCAAATTCTATGATCAATTGTGATGCCCCAAGCATTTGTCTGTCAGGACAATTAAGTCTGAATGGTCTGACAAGTATGGCTGCCCACTGTGCTGAAGGGCTATTCAATAAATATAAACTAAGAGATGTGATAATATAGTATTGAAGGAAGCAATGTAAGCACTGCTCCACTACATTTTGAATATGGTCATCACTCTTTAGGATTCATAGTTTACTCTCTTCTATTTGAGCAGTTTGTCAACTAGAAAATAACAGTTTGTCAACTAGAAATTTTATAGCTGAAGAAAAAAATGAAGTAGAATGATGATGATTTTGATTTTGATGGCCACCCATCTCATCTAAGTAACTTTAGGCAGCTCACAACATTAACAATAAGCTCACCTGGGGAAAATTGATCATCTTGACAGGTATCATGGATTCCAGCAATCTGAATTAAAACAGATTGTACAGATTAATAGCTAGAAAGAAAGCATCTGATTACTTAGACAGCCATCCCATTTAAACATCTGTTGGTTTCCCTAGCAAATAAAGTAGGTTATGAAAAAAATGTAAGAATTGATATAACAGAAGCAGTATTATCTCTCCATACATAATCTTTATACAGTGATGCTCATATCAACCCTACGCCTTAGGGTGAAGCAAGGAAAAGAAGAGAAAGGTATGACTAATTCATAAAGTTGCATTTCTTGCTGTTTTTCTGTGATCAAGACAATGGTCACAGAAGCGAGGGGACCCAGAAATGAAGTTTCTTAATTTTAATTATTAGTAAAGTAGGGACAGATTAATAGAACTTTGAATCAACATTTACTGGATAAAACTACTAAGTCAAATACATCTGTTACAATTAATATCCTATAGTTTTGCAGGTCATTCTTTCATCTTCTGTTTTTTAAACACTCTTTGAAGAAGGAAAACAGAGCCAAGAATACCTTGAATACCCCCCCACTTGTGAAAAGGCTTGAAAAAGACTTGCAATAGAAAACAAAAACAAAACTATTTCTAAGCCTGGACAATATTTATGGAATTGAATAGCTTTTTTTTTCATTAGCACAAAACAATATCAATGGTGGATAAATGCTTTCATTCACAATGACAGCTCTGTAATGAACATAATTAAACTATTAATTGAACTGTTAATAAGGAGCACCTCTATGAATGGCACTGATAGATAAGGCAGCTGATAGGTTTACAGGCTTGCTTACCTGTTCCGAACTTGGTTTGGCTCAACGTCAAAGTAGGGCCGGAGGATATCAATATTAGCATAGAGGTTGAAGGCTTTTGAGGCTTGTCTCTTTCCAGCCTGCCACATCTTAAAAAAGAGAAAATATTAATTAAACATGCTCTCTTTCTCCTTCTGAAGAATTAGAGAACTTTAAAAAAAAACCCAAAACCTGCAGATCAAGATCATTTCTAGTACACTACATCAAAGCAGAATTACTTAGTACAGGATTATAATGTAGAGAAAGATACTATAGGTCTAGATATTTTCCCCCTTAACTCCATGAACAAGATTTACTTTACTTCTGACATAAGGAAATAAAACCAATTTTTCATAGATAATAAGTATTGACTATGCAATTTGGTTAATACACTCTGCTAAACCATGTTTTGATTAAACTTAATTTATTGCTGAAATTGAACGGTTAGAGTCAAATGATACCCTAACTTATAAATCACAATGATATCGTTTGTACAGTATGGCATGAGTCTTATCTAATAATTCGAGATTTTGGGTGGTAAAGATGTCCCATATATTTTCTATGTAAACCACATATTGCTGATCTAAAAAAGACAGACATACATTTAAGATCAATATTGTATTCCTCCAATTTTGAGCATAAACCAATCTGGAAGCCGTTAGAATGTGTAGCATCAAATAGAGTATGCCTTTGTCATACTTCTGCGTTGTTATACCTAATAGGAAAAATTCTGGTTTTAACTCTACCACTCGCTCTAGTATTTCTTCCAACCATTCTTTAACCTTAGTCCAAAAATCACAAGCTCGCGGGCACTCCCA